GAGAGACTCTGTGAGAGAAGGAGAGAGAGAGAGAGAGAGAGAGAGAGAGAGAGTGGACGACGACGGCGACGGGGAGTGGAGCGGGATGACGGTGCAGCGGAGCGGTCGACGGCGGCGACGGCACGACGAGAACAGTGGAGCGGGCGACGCACAGCTTCGGGCGGCGGCACCAAAAATTTAATGCGCGTTCATTGCCTTTGAACGCGCGTTCAATTTCTGAACGCGCGTTCACTGCCTTCGAACGCGCGTTCAATCCGTGAATGTGGTGAAGGCCCCGCGCCGCGCGGAGGCTGGCCTGTCGCCCTTGCTTGGTGCTGCGTGCGGGCCTGGGCCCTGGGTCGCTGGGCCGTCGGTGGCCAGTTCGTGGTGGGCCTTAAGGCCCTAGTGCGGGACCTCGACGGGATTCGGGATTGTGTGACCTCGGCGGGATTCGGGACTATGTGGGACAGACCTGTGCGGTACTGTGCGAGAAAGACTGTGGCAGACGACCATGATGGTGCGAGTCAGGCACGAGTGTTCGAGGACGCCGGGGAGGATGAGAACCGCAGGGCACAGAAGAAGTGTTGCGTGTACAAGTACATCCGCGTGGGACAAAATCTTGGCGAGAGGTTCCACGGGAATTGCATGTTGAAGTGTTTTTTTTTGCGGCCACAAATTTTAGGGCAACCAGTTCGTAGAGGGGCGCCATTTCGGGCAGGGTAAGGGAGGTCCGACATTGACCGACGAGGCGCTTATCAACATACACGACAACACCGACTACAAGTTGGACGGGAACATCCTTGAGCGGATGCGTCGGTTTGAGGAGCTTTACGGTCCGGCGCCTACGATGGATCCGCGTCGGGATGAGGGAGGGGTGGGAGAGGTGAGGGATGACGAGGACGTGATCGACGTGGACAACGTCGTGGAGGAGGGTGTGTGGGCAGGGCTGTCAGGGACGGAGCAAGGGGAGGGCATTGTGAGCGAGCCAGGGGGGTAGCAACGCCAATACTTTAAGGATGCGCACGTATCGGCTCGCACACATGTGCATGTGGGTGCGGACGAGGCGGGACCGTCTACGGGGAAGAGAAAGAAGAGAGAGGAGGGGGTGCGGCCGGGAGCGCAGAAGAGGCTGAGACAAAATACGATCACGGAGTCATACTCGTCACAATGGCAGATGGAGTTCAAGAATAGGTGGCTGAGGTTTGTCTACAGTCAGCGTCTGGCGTTCAACATCTTTCGGAGCGAGCCGTGGTTGGACGTCGTCCGACACTTCAGGGAATTGTCGGGGCCAGTGAACGTTTTGTGGCCTTCGGAGAATGAGATTGCGGACATAGAGACAGTTGTCCGCATGGCGAACGATGTGGCGGCTGATCTCGCGGAGGTCAGGGCTCGTTTCTATGTCACGGGGGCCACCATCATGTCGGACGGTAGGAAGTCACGCGATGCTAGACCCATCGTTAACTTCCTTCAAGTTGTCGGCGGGTCGCGTGGGGTGATACTGATCCGGACAGAGAACAGGGAGGGTGAGCAGGACCTGGCGCCTAATGTTTTCGCGCGCTAGATCAAGGTGTTTGATGACTTCCCTTCTAGGCGGGTGAACGCCATTTGCACTGACTCTGCCTCGACGTACGTCGCCGCGACGAACATGCTCCAGGGGCCTGAGCAGAGGCCAGAGGATCGACGGATCACGTGGCTCCCATGTGCGGTGCATGTCTGCAACAAGATGTTGTCAGACATTCGCTGTTTGAGCTCGTGGTCCAAGGACATCATCGTGCGGGGGAGAGTGGTGGTGCGCTTCATTAAGGACCACGGCGCCACTCTTCATATCTTCAGGAGGGAGAGCACGCAGATGGGTCTTATTTATCCGTGCGAGACAAGTTTCGCATCCGTGTTCGCGATGATGGAGCGTTTGCTGGCAATGAGGTCAGCGGAAAGGACGGTGGACGACGATAGTTGCGGTCCTTGGGACCATTCCGTTCGTCAGTTGGCTAGGTGGGTCTGGTGGCAGGTGCGACATGGCCCTTGGTGGGATTCCATGAGCATCCTTGTCCATATTATGGAGCCTGTGTATGACATGCTGCGCAGGTTGGACCGTGGAGGGTTGCACATGTCGCGGGTTGTTCAGTGGACGCAGGATGTTACCCGTGAGGTGGCACAGGAGGTTCGTACACTTCCGGCGGATTCTGCACACTTCATTGTGAAGAAGGTGCAGGCTCGGTGCGCTCACATGTTGGAGCCGGCGCACGCCGCTGCTCACCATCTCTGTTCTAGCCGGCGGGACTTGAGGTACTACGAGGGCGTAGTCAACGACTGCGACGCGAGCTTAGTGAGGGAGGTGGAGGTCTACATCTTGTTGCAGATAGGGTTCAATGTAGCGAACCCCGAGTACGAGACGGCATGTGCGCAGTTGGGCGACTTTCACATACGGAGGGGGGGGATTGCATCCGGGGGAAGGGACGGAGACAGGGAGGCACAAAGGTGCACCGGTGATGTGGAGACATACGAGGCCAGGTGTTGGTGGTCGAAGTGGGGACAGTGCACCCCACAATTGCAGGTTATCGCTCTTCGTGTTATGTACATGAGGACGTGCTCCTTTCCTGAGGAGAGGAATTGGGTCGTCCACAAGGGTGTACAGACGAAGTAGCGTAACCGTCTTGAGTTTGAGAAGGTTGCGAAGTTGGTTGAGATCTCAGCTAACGTCCGCCTTCTCTCCGAGTCATCAACGGGCAAGTCGCAGGTTTGCGCTGCCGTGGACTCTAGATTAGTTCTTGTTGGACTTGGAGGGAGGTATTGAAACTCGCCCCTCGTGGAAGGGGACGGACGACAGCAGGACGCAGGAGGAGCTGGAGTGTCAGAGACGTTCGTGGCAGCGAGACCCGTGTGGGTCGAGAGCTCCTCCGAGTGAGGTTGCAGATGTTTTTGGGACTCGAGCTGCCACATTGCGCCCATACCCTGGAGACGACGACAGCGATTACGAGGGTCGGGAGCAGGAGGACGAGTGGGCGGGCCCACTACTGCCACTCCTGCCGCACAGGAGGTTGGTGAGTGGAGCGACCCGGAGCACGTCCGTAGACGGAATGGCGGGGATGACTTTTTCGGTGGAGTTGATTTGACAGGTGAGGAGGAGTTATGGGGTCGTTATGGGAGCCCTGTTGAGCGACAGAGGCCTACGTCACCTGGCCTGCGGTCTGCCGAGCGAGAGAGAGTGCATGGATCTGCACCTTCGAGGGGGGAAAAGTCAGATTGTGGTGGCGACACCCCTGGCCATCGTCGTGCACATGTTCTTAGTGGCATGGCATCATCCACCGATCTTCCCCCTCCGTCGGAGGAGCTTCATCGAGGCTTGCCCCCTGATGGTCGACTACGTAGATTGGTGAAGGGTCCGAGACAAAGATTATAGGAGAGATTAGCGGGCGGTCCTTCACCGGTCCAGGGGGACAAGAGAGATAGAGAGGGGTTGACTGGTGGAGACGGTGGTGCGTCAGTGGCAGGCGGAGGCAGTGCTGAGGTTGCTGCAGCGGTTGACAGGGACGTGCTTAGGACTGTTCGTGATGAGGGGATGCCGGCGGGTGGCGGAGGAAATTTCACTGAGTTTGGTGACTTGGGTATGCCCCCGGGGGAGAGCGAGTCCCGGGGGGACATCAGTGTCGGCATGCAGGCCGTATTGCGCCAAATCAGCGCCCTGCACCCGGTGACTTTCTCCCCTGCCATGCACAGAGAGTTGATGCCGTCACCACCGGAGGAGGGGGAGATGAGGACCGCATACCCCCTGGAGAGACATATGAAGAGATGCTGGATATGCTTGATAGTGGTCGAGCTTGCCTCATGGCACGAGGGGACCCCTGGACGCAGGAGTTGGCCCGTCTTGCAGTTGAGGAGCGACAGAGACAGCTGGGGACATTTATGTGGGCGTCCATTGGCGTAGAGAAAGTTGTCCACATGCGTGGAACAGGAGATCGCGATGAGACACAGGGGGAGGCAGCTTTGGCCGAGGCGTCGAGGATGGGAGGGGATGTTGAGCAGGGGTCGCACGATACCGGGTTCGCACCCCCAGAGAACCCACGTGTGCTGCCTAACCGGCCTCCTCACGACGAGCACAGGCCCGAGGACACTTTACATGAGGCTGCGGGCATGCCTCTGCCCACGGGTATGGTTGAGGGTGTCGTGCACATGTCCTCGGGTCTGTCAGTGGGCGTTGATGATGGTCGACCATCGGCACAGGCAGAGGGGATAGGACCGACCACCGGGGGGTAGGAGGACGTTGTGGGGGACGTTGATGTTAGGGGGGTGGAGGCACGAGTTCAAGCTGATCCGATGCACACATTTAGGGGGCAAGATCGTGCAGAGGTCGATAGCGAGGTTATACCCAGAGAGGACGTGAGAGAGGCATGACGGAGACAGACAGGAGACGCCGCAAACTTTGGTGGTTCGCACGACTGTGGGGCTGGTGGTCCCACATCAAGCAGCGTTTCTGGTGGATCCTAGGCGTCGTGCACATGGCGGTAGCCCGGTCGTGAAGCGACGTGTAGGCAGGGGCACGTGCACACCTCCGATCCCTACTTTTGCGCCGTCATGGGTGAGGACGCAGATTAGTCATGTGGCTACCCCTTGCGGCAGCCTCGCATTTCGATGTATGACTACTGAGGAGCTGGAGGCGCACGGCGGGACGGATTTGACCGAGATCGACACTCGTATTTTCATGGGGTCTCCGGCGGAGGGGCGTCTCCCTCATGTGCAGGACTTGCCTTGGGGGCCAGCTAGCCCTAGCTTACCTTCTGGAGGTTCTGTCGCAGCGCCATGTCACGGCGCAGCAGGCCCATTGTCACTCGCGAGCGTAGTTGCGGAGCAGAGCGGCAGTCTTACCCCGAGATCGGCTGCCCATAGACGGAGAGACACTACCGACCATGCGCGGGAGTCGCAGGACAACATGTTGACAATGTTCGGTCGCACAGATCGGCCATGGAGTGAGACGAGACGGGTGACGACGGCGAGTGTCGGTCATCAACCAGGTTTGAGAGGGGTTTCAACGAGCGGGAGTCGTCGTGATGTTGTGGCGTCAAGGTTCGGCGGTAGAGGCGGGGATAATGGTGGCATGCCTGGCAGACGTGAGGGCGCAGGCGGTGCCGCGACGGGCGCAGTACATCCATCGTTGACGTACGGTTTGAGATAGGCATCAATTATTTTAGAGGAGCCAGACGTTGTTACACGAGACAGACAAGCCCGACATGTGCCCTTAGATCGACGCCAGGAGGGGGAGACTTTAGGTGCAGATGGTCTACCTATGCGTCGCGATTCCCCCCGACGTGTTGATCTAGCAGCCGCAGGTACCGGGACAGGCAGATGAAGGAGAGTTATTATGGACGACGACCCCGACGACCCTCCCGAGCCTTTTTCCGCCGGACGCGGCAGGCAGCGCAGAGAGGTCGACCACATGGTAGTGGTCAGTCACGCGGACGAGGTTCTCATCGGTCCAGGCTGGATTTGCGTGCAGACGACAATCGTTGACGGTCTACGGACTTGCGTTTTCTTGCCTTTCTCGGTGTAGTTTACTTTTTTGTTCTCCATGACAGACGTAGTGTTTCGTGATGTTGTATTATAGTCTACTTTTCAGTCGGTACTTTTTGCGCAGTTCACACATGGTTTCGTTCGGTACTTCGGAGATTATATGTTTTCAGTCTATTTTTTAGTCTAGTTTTTAGTCGGTACTTTTTAGTCGGTATTTTTTTTGGATACTGTGGCGGGTCTTCGACACGACGGGTCAGATGTATTTTGCTATTATCCATGCTACATTGATTTGCGTTTTGCTTCGATTATATCTTGGCGTTTGCAATGTTTATGTTTTCAGACGATGAGTGTTGCATGCACGTACATAAGAGCAGTGTGTGAACCTGCATTTGTCCACATGAATGGAATGACAAGTACATAAATGTGTGCATCGACAAATTCTTGATCTCTTAGTAATCTCACTTCGCATTGTATGAGCACCACAAAAACCTGGGTTGTGGGGCGTGGGCGGACTTGGGGGGTTTGGGCTTGGCTCGATTTGAACCCGCACCAAACCCAAATCCCCCAAGTGCGTTCACACCCCACAAAACCGAAACCCTCCTGTCGCGCCCTCC